AAAAAAAAAAAAGTTAGGAGACTAGAGTAAGTGAAGACCTAAAATATGTAATAGTGTCCCAGAAGTTAAGAAATCAAAGGGGCTTAAATAAAGAAAAGGAAGTGATCTTCAATGATGTCAGTTGCTATATAACTGTTAAATTCACTTGTAATAATGAAGTTATTTGTAATATTTGGGAGCTTTGTAGTTTACCATTTCATCTTCTCGGGAATAACTAGGAAGTATCCAATTCATTTCACCATGTCTTGAGTTAAAGTCTTTTCGCATTCCTGTTAGGGATTGGAGTAGATCAGAGTTAAACAAGTTCCAGTAGACCTAATTTTCCTGCTACCTACTGTAGGTTTTTGTTCAATGTGTAAACAAGGGACCAAACAGAAAACAATATGGTCAGTCTTTACAGGCACAGCCTTCTAATTCGAGCGAATAAAGAAGGTTATCCAATATATGCAAAAGTAGTGGTTCACACACGTAACTATGAGAACTCCAGAAAGCCCATGATGGCTCGGTTCAATCTAAACAAGACCTTAAGTAAAGAGCAGTGCTTCGGGGGCAAACGGGAAAGCCAAAAAAGACGAGGAAATGGGGGCCTGAAACCTACGGAGCTGGGACTTATAATCACGTGCAATCTGGTGCGTGCTGTTCAGCTTCAAATTCTTTCACCTAAAAGAACAAATTTTAAGATAACGGACGCTGAAATACAAAAGAAATGTATACACTCCTCCGCACAAAGGTGTCTCCTGGCACGTTTTTCCAGGGAAACTTCGCGGCGCAGCAAGCCGGTGCGAGAACTCTCTAAAAGCCGGCGTTCTATCATCCCGGCGTCCCGGCACCTGCGCAGGCGCAGGAGGCAGTCTACGGAGAGCCGGAGGAGGGCGGGGCGGGGCGGGGTGAGACGCACAGTCGCGCGCTCCCAGTTTCCGCCGCGCCTCCCCGGAAATCCTGCGTCACCCGGCGTCGGAGGCGTAGGAAGTGCTTCTTAACGCATCAAGGAGGTCGTAAGTCATGTGACGGCAGCTTTCAGAAAAACCTGTCTTTGGCGCTGTCCGTGAAGGACAGCAGGCAGCCCAGAACCCTGCGGCCCGAAGAACCAGGCGGCCCAGAAACCGGGTAACTGGAGCCACGATGCCCGGTGTTAAGGCCTGGGCCCGCGGGTGGCGCGGGCGGTGAGCTGGAAGAGCAGAGGACGCCCCTTCCCCTTTATTTGGGCTTAGACCTTGGGGGCTGGGGAGGCTGAGTGGGCTGAGGTAAGGCATCCCGGCTGTTCATGTGGGTGTCTGGGAAATGTGTCTCCCTTCCATCTCCCTGGCCCGAGTCCTAGAGCCGCGGATTCTTGCCTGACCCTGATGACGGCTGACCCCGCTGAAACCCAGATTTCCTCACCAGGAGTTTCTTTTTCAGGCGTGGATATTGAACCTGCGGGAGAAAGGGGTTCGTCATGGCGGATGTGAGTTAACACCCCCGCACAAGAGGATGCAAATGGTGGGGAGTTTGGAGCCTACTGGGTGGGGAAAGATAGCGCTTCCTAAGGAGAAATTTGTTTCATTTTTGCCCCTCCACACCTTGAGTTATTGTCTCCAGGATCTGGGGTTACAGAGTAATGTGAATGGATTTTCTGCGGCCCTGAGTTTCTGCCTTGCGTGGTGTTGCAGGACACCTAGATGTCTGTTCCCGCTCCACAGCCCTGCAGGCATAAGAGGCTCCGACTATTTACCATTTTAATTTCTAAATGGTGCTTTGCTGCTTGGAATCCTTTTTTTTTTCCCCCAGCAAGTGGTCATGATGTCTTTCTGGGTTCATTGGAGCAATTTGAGATGGTTTCCAGCTGACACGTCTTTAGCACAGCAATAAAAGCCAGATTCAAAGTTGAGGAAACTTAATTGTTCTAGTTACTAGAAACAGCGGGGAAATTAATACGAGTACTAATGTTTATATTTTACATACTGTTACTTTGTTTACGTGCATCCTGAGTGTTCTAAATATTGAACATACACTCTCATTCTTACAACATCTTTAGGAGGTAGGCATGATCATTACTGTCCCTGTGTCATAGATGAGGATGCTGAGGCCCAGGAAGATCAAGTAACTTGCCTCAAGTTACACTAGTACTTGTGGAGTCAGGATACCAGCCCAGCCATTTTGGCTCCAGAGTCATTGCTCTTAACCATTAGCTAGTCATTCAGCATTAATACGAATCTGATTTTTCTTTTTAGGTTGCAAGATTACGTGTTTCAACATTAAGCAACTTTCATGCCCTTAGCACTCCATTTTTGGGTGTCTTCTATTATATTTTTGAGACATTCTTCTTCAGACATAATCAAATCACTAAATGGCTATTGAGCAGCTAGCTGCCTTGCAAAGGTTGCTATAATAAGGGCTGTGGGTGAAATGAAGATGATTGAGGTATAATTCCTCTTAAGGGTTTTACAGTTTTAAAAAGCAGTAGGCAAATGATCAGATATGCATACATTATTGTGTGAAAATTTGAAGGAGAGAGGGATTACATATGATTTGTGTCTGTCAGGAAAACCTATTGGGAGTGTTTGGTGGTTGAGATTAGCTCTAAATGATGAGTAGTATTTTTTTTTTAAAGTAAGATTGAGAAGGAGCATGTTACTAGTAGAATAAATAGCATAAACAGAATTAGATAGGAAAGGGAGAGGTGTGTGTGTAGAAGAGCTGGGAGCAGTCCAGTTTAGCTGGGGCTGAGGATATGTGTGAGAGATTGGTAGGAAGCAGGCCTATAAACTTAGTTGTAGGCCATATTGTATAGTCTCAAATGTCTAAAGAATTTGTACGTAATTCAGTCAACAGTGGAGAGCCGTTCAAATACTGATTATCAATCAACCTTGCCTGAATAGAAGCACTTCCAACCTAGCCATGAGTGGCCATTTGTTTTGAAGCTTCTCGTGTTATCCATAGCAAAGGTTGAGAATCAATACAATCATGGCTTTAGAGAAGGAGAATAATAGGATTATTATTCCATATATTATTAAACAGAAGACCAACATACCAATTGGGAGGCTAGCGCAAGTCATAAATAATAGAATGAAAATAAACTATAATGTCAGTTGAAAAGTTTGACTTCACAAGTGATTTAAAAGTGACAAATGTGAGGTTAGGGTTAGGTATTACTCTTAGTTTCAAACCTGAATGAATGGGCTTGTAGTCCCATTAGTGGAAACGAAAAAAGATTGAGGAAATCTGGGTTTCAGATGAAACATGATGAGTTGAGGTTTTTTTTGTGTACATTTAAAATGAGAGCAAAGGTAAACTGGTAGGGATGATATGAAATAAAATGAATATTCAGGTTTGGAGAATAGTAGGGATTAGAGGTTCAAAACTGCAGATATCTAGATTTGTTTGTGTAGAGCTCTTAACTGATACCTGGATTGTCAGTGAAATCCCCCAGATGAGAGTATAATGAGATAAAATAGTCTTCTATTTATTTTGTCCTAATTATGTTCCATGCTAAACACTTTTCAAACATTGTCATATCTTTAGTCATGTGAGGAGATTTAATTTCAGAGAAGTTAATCAACTTACCCAGAATTGTTCAAGTCATATAAGAAAGTCTATATATAGATGTGGAAAGATGTTCATAATATACTCTTAAGTGAACACAACAGTAGCAACAGGATGTGAAATAGTAAGAAAAGTGTGATCTAATTTTACAGCTAATATATATTTGTGTTGCCCATTTCCAGATATGCTAATCACTTAACATACATCTTCTCAGTAAACTAAAAATAATATTATGACGTAGGTTCTATTATTACCTCTCCTCAACAAATAATGAAACTTAGGCTTAGAGAAAAGGGTTAGTTAGTTTGCTCCAAGTCATATAACTAGTGAATGTCAAAACTAAAAAAAGATAAAATACATGCAAGAAAGGTTATGAATCCTTACTTAGGTATATCTGAAATGTGGATAGGACAGAATGCAGAGAATTAGTACAAGGCATATTATTGTATGATTTTTTTTTTATTTTTATTTCAGGACCTGAAGCGATTCCTGTATAAAAAATTGCCAAGGTAAAAAATTGCTAATTTGTTAGTACATAAATTCTGCATAATATATGTTAATTTTATGTAGTATTTTGTTTCTAGCTATTTTAGACTAATACTATGTGTGTATTATGCTATTAGTTAGCACTTTTAAATACCTAACATAACCCATGGTAGCATAAATGATGTTCTTTGAATTTGAAGATAAATAACATGGGACCTAGCGAAGCTATAAGACTTATTTAAGGTTAAACAGCTAGTAGATGCCACAGGGCTAGAACTCAGATTTTTTTGCCACTTTAAAATTCTCTCAAATACATTATCATAGCCGTTTACTGGATTATACTTTGACGTAACTTAGAGAAATTTGAAGGGGAAGAAACGAAGAACTTGTCTTTACTTTTTATATTGCTATTAAGACCTAATGAATCTACATAACCCAAAAATGCTAGACTTAGCACTTCATATTTGGAAAACTCACAGGGTTTTCTTTGGCCAGCACACAGGCCATTTGATGTAACATTTTATAAATAGGCTCTTATATTGAGGGCAGCAAACTTTGTAATAGAAATTTTACTGATTGAATGACTTTGTCACTCTAGTTCAATTAAAATTCACATTTAGTTTGGTGTTAAATGATATCTTAGAGTTAAGGACATGAGAGAAATATAACCTAAGACATCCATTTCCACATTCCAGAATAACCGAATAACTTGTGAGATGAATATAGCAGTGTATATGGTGAAATCCTGTTTTTAATTTCTTTTTTTATATCTTATCTTTCAAATCAGTTTGAAGTTAAAAAGTTTTTGGATGTCAGTTTATTTCTGTAGGTAGGGGAAAAAAAACCTTGTTTGGATTTTTTTCTTGAAATGTGAGGTGTGGCTTTGCCTGTTGACTTGTGCCTTTATTTTACAGACCACAGGAAATTAATGATATTATCTTCTAGTTTTGCTTTATCTATATTTTTCTTCCATATTCAGGAAGAAAACACCACTGAGGTGTTAAATAATTACAATTGATTTTATGTTAATGTAATACTTAAATTTATTTTTACTCTTTTCCTCCTAGTATTGGCAAACTAAAGACAAGGTACTGATTCTGTTCTATCGTGATGATTAGCAATACAGGCAGTCCTAGCTTTGCACATTCCTGCAGGGCCATAAAAATTTCCACACACACTGAAACTGTCCCAAGCAATTTTAGTAATCAGTGGGAAATTTTACAGTTGTTTCCTGACCTTTAAAAGTTTTTGTCAAAACATTAAAACCTGTCTTATTGTTTTGTTGGCTATATTTACAGGGATGAAAACGAATACTAAAACTAGTATTTGTTTAATACACTATAATTTCACACAGTAGAAACATTGAGAATTAGAGTGTTTATTTCTTTGCAAAAAACGTAAAAGTTTGAACAGTTTGCCTACTTCTTTTCATATACATTAAGATATATGAAAGCTATATCTCTAAGATAAGGAGCAGACATCTTTTCTGTGCCTTGGCAAATTGGCATACTCCTTTCTAAGTTTGGATCAGCTTCCAACATTTTGTCCTTTATGCTTTCAATGTTGTGAAATATCTGAGAGTTCTTTAATGTGAAATTTTTTGCCAGTATCACTTCCTTTGGGACATCTTCATTCTTTTGATCACAACCACTTTTCCTCATTTATGTAATAAGTCCGCCTTCACTCAGTTCCTCTAGCTGCACATCTCATGTACAACAATGATAATGTCAGCATATCCTCAGCCAGCTCTTTCTTTGTTAACTCTATTTACTTTCTATTCGAATTTCACTTCCAGCACTATCGCTTTTTGTTTCTTTGCTTATTTCATCTTTATTGGCCCTATTTCAGTTTTCAAAAAA